GTTCTATGTTTCCTTGCTAACTGAGTAGCTTTCTATGCTGAAATCTTTTCTCATGGAAATGTTTTTTTTTCCTCACTGTCATCTACAACTTAAACTGCACTCCACCTGCATTTGTAGCTCGACATGCTCCTCTCCCAGTGACTGCGGTGAGTGACAGACTGACTTACGGCATCTATGGCCTGTGTGTAGCAGTTACTATAGTGACAGTGCAGGTTGGTGGTGCACACCACTTATGCCCAAACACTCGAGCTCCTTTCTTTAATTACACAGTTGCACTATTCTTGGCTCTCCAAATAAATAAACACCCCACAGTTTTGTGGAAGACCTAGATCATCGTCCTACATTAATTTATACTAAAAGTTTATATATATCACAAAATATATAAGTTACAAATAATACATGGTACATAACCTCTGTGTCCTCAATTTTAGTTACGCCCCTGACTGACAGAGCACTGAAAAAGAGCAAACCCAGGGGTTGCTGATGTCCAGTAGTTCAAGACTTCCAACTGTTATTACCAGCAAAGAGTTTTCATCCAAGTATTTAAAATGTACCTGTTATATTATTGTATTTGTACAATTCATTTTGAGTCCTGATTTAAAGAGATTGTTTAAAAATAGGCTTTGATAGCTTACTTTTTTTTCTTAACCCACCTGAATAAAGTTTAACTGCTACGCACTTTAACTACATCTGATGCAGAGTAGAGATCTAAAATATGATCCATACATTACTGTTCTCGTAAATGGAAACCACAAGTAGTCTTTTGATTAAATATAGAAAGAATAACTTCAGCCCTTTGAAAGGCAAACACAACCTCTCCTCTGTTGTCTGACATGCTGTTTGATATTACTTCCCCTTAAACCAAATGTGCTGAATATTAAAAGAACCTTAACCTTTCAGTTCTCCATTTATGTGTAGGAGGGTGTTTGCTTGTGTGTGAAAGATGGAAACCTGTGTTTCATCAGACAGTTATTCTGCTAAATAGAGTAAAACTAAACTAAAACAATAATTAGATAAAATAGATTACATTGGTTTCTTATGTACTGTAGGACAGCGTAGGTAAAACAGTTTAGTATTCACCAAAATTTGAAGTATCATTGCGTTAAAGATCTTACGTCATGGAGACTTACATACAAAACTTCCCAGGAGACCAAGCATTTCTCTCTTTTCTTCGTCTACTGTGATACCAAATGGAGATATGATCACAGAGTCGCTCACAAGCTGCAAATGTATGGCTGATTTTGGCCAAAGATATTTTATTTTAGTACTGTACAGACACTGAAGAGTATATTATGCAGATATAGTTTTTTTTTTTATATGGTTGAAAGTATACAGTCAGATATACATAAACACAAAATGAGTCGCTTTGGTAATATACCGGTAGTATTATTTACAAGTACTATTTATCAAACAGGTATTAAATTAAAAAGTATTACATAAAGATATTTTAATGTGTTGATGTAACAATAATTTACTAATGTAAATACAATTTAAAAATAAAAACAACTGAAAAAATTTCATTTCAAGTGGGTTTTTTTTACATGTTGTAGCTCAAAAACTTTTATCATAAAGAAGCAGGCATCGCTTTTATGATGAGTTCAAACACAAATTAATCGATGCTTTGACAAAAAAGCAGCTTCAGGTATAATAAGTCACTCTGTTAAAGTTTTTTTTTTTTTTTTGTGGTAATACTGTCCTTCATTCATCGGTGTAAAAGACAGAAAGAGGATATAAGGTGGGGAATTTGAGGCCCAGACTGTGTGGAAGGCGAGACAGCTGCCCATGCCTCCATTAAAAAGCTCCTGACTTGTATTTTTAACAGGTAATCCAAGAAAAGTCTTTTAGGTAACATGCAGAAATAGGCTTGTTGGACATTTTAAATCACCTTCCTTTGTTTACTTGTGCATATAAAGTATCCTCCACTATTGGGTTAGCCCGCTCTGGTCTCTGTCTCTTTGAAAACTTGACCTGGCCGTACTCCACATCAACGTCCGCACTTAGCTCCACTTTCTTTCCCTGATTTTTCACAACCCTAACATCAGCATAGGTCAGTTCCTGGTCATCTTCCTCCACCGCTGAAAAGCAAAAAAATGGTAAAGCTGATGAATTATAAGGTCTGTCCTTGAATCAATAACCAAGTAGAAAGCTGTACTGTTTACCTCTGGGGCTTTTCTTTTTCTTGAAGTAACAGATGAATGCGATGCAGACCATCAAGATAATTACCAATGCTGTGAGAACGCCAGCTATTATTGGCAATAGCCCTGTTTAAAAACAAGTAAACATCAGACAAACACAGATCTTAAAGGCCAGAGTTACTCTACAGGATTTATGAAAACTTAAAAAAATGAAAAAGGGTATTATTCACAAACAAACACAACAGAGTTTAATTTTCACTTACTAATGTACCAAGGTTGATTATGGTTCTCAGGATTATGAGGTAAGGAAATTGACTGTGTCTCCTTACCCACACTACTATGTTTAGTTGTTGGAGGGACAGTTGTTGGTTCAACACACAGGGTGTTATTTTCTTGATACACCCATTTAGCTATTGTTGTCCCATTGATGGTGCAGTTAATGAATATGAAGCCTAGAAACAAACAGGATTATATGTCATGTAGGATCATAACCATCAACTAGTTTATCATATTTATCTCACTCACCACAGTCAGGAATTTTGATCTCATTGGAGGATGAACTGACTTGATTCCTGACTGAGCAGAAAAGACGCCCTGAGATATTCGGTTTTAGAACGATGATGTTAGTCTGATTATTTCCAAAGAGTAGTTCAGAGTCTGTCAGTGTTTTTCCATCCAGAGTCCAGCTGTACTGAGGACTGTCCCCCTTAGAGAGACAGGACACCTTGATCCGTCCCAGGGACCAACACTGATGGGACAGCTGGACAGAAGACACAGGAGCTGAGAGAGAAAAACACATTAATTACAGGAAACGTCTTTTTAACCTTTTGATAGAAAACTGGAAAAACACAGAATTTATATTGAACGCTGTTATAAGATGTTTGTATTTAGTACCAGTACAATGATTACCGCAACATTTAAAGCAGTGGAAGCAAAACGAAGAGTAGAAAATGTAAAAAGGTAAAAGATAAACATTGTATTACCTTGAACACACAGCTGCACAGTTCTAGGTCCTGTTTTCTTTCCATCTTTACCAAACAATATAAGTTCATATTCACCGCTGTCATTCATCTTCAGGTCATTGATCATAAATGATCCATTATTTGAGTAAAAGACAATTTTTCCAGCTATCCAGCTTTCTGTTGGTTTGTTGTTAAACCCCTTAAATACACTTCCATTCTTTGTTAATTGAACACTGCGTAATTGTGAGACGTCGTTCTCCAGTGGAAGCTCCACTGATCCTCCCAAAGCTCCATAATACTGAGCTCCATCTTGTCGGCCATCACAGGAATCAGCTGCACCTTAAAGAATAATATTAATCATTATCTTCAATGAAAATAAATAACGTACTTAATCCTTAACAACATCATGGGCTTCTTTTGTCCAGTGTCACTAATATTTGTGTATTTGTCCAACATCACAGTGACTTTAACCTTTTATGTCCAACAGCTGAACATGAAAATCAAGTAGCAGCACTTTAACTTAAAACAGAATAAGATAGTGATTTAAAGAATTGTGTTTATTTATTTCGTGAATGCAAGCGTGAATGGGTGAATGACTGAATGTGATGTAAAACGCTTTGGTCAAGTCTCCTGACTTGAAAAAAAGCATTTACCATTTACCATTTCAGATTCAAGAATCTGTTTCTGTGCCCAAAACTCAAATTGTTTCAAAAAACTGCAGTAAATTAAACTAAAGGTGCTGCTCAGCTCATTACTGCTACATGGAGAGAAAAAGTAACACCTTTCTTCATAGCTGATTTGGATTTAACTAAGATGAATAATCTTGTTTAAAAAGCCAATCAGAATGGAATTATAGCTAAATCTGTCAAACTTCTTTTTTCTTTGCAGAGTCCAAAAACCCCCATATACATTTCAGCTTAAAATAATCGTGAACACAACAAATGCTGAAACCTTATAAAAAAATATTTTTCTTCAAAAACATAAATTAACAAAATGAACAGCCTTTAACATTTCAACACTTTATCTTTAGTCCAGCAAATATTTAATGTAATGTTGAATTGATTTGTCTTTTATGTTAAAGTTTTAATTTAAACTTTACATGAAATGTAAGAGGATGAAAAACTAAAAAGAAATTAAAATATATTAATATATTTTTTGTAAATCAACTGTAACTTTTATTTATTTTTTCAAACAACTTAAGCCGTACTCATTATATAATAATAAAGAAAGCAAATCAAACTAGCCTGAATGGTCATAGGACATTTCAATCCTATTAGAAGTTTGGATTTTCTTTTTATTATTATTTCTTTTTCTTTTCATATGTTACACCCTCAAAGAAACTTAGTTTTCAAAACTGTCAGTTGAAAAGAAACTTAAACATCAACATTTTAAAACATATTATTTAAATGGAAAGGAACGAATGTGGTGCTGGGTAAAAATAGATAAAAACCTCACCATGAGAAACTCGGAGCAAAATCAGTAAGACTCCAACGACGGCCTTCATCTCTGCTCTCTGGTTCACTCAGCTGCCCTCAGATGCAGGATTATTTTATCCAGAATGTAATGTTTAAATTTAGCTCTAAACAGCCTGAAGAGTGTCCTGTTACTGATCAGAGGAGAACTTCTGAATACGCTGACCAAATAAAGAGCTGCAATGTTCATGTCTTTAACCTCACTGAGAGGAAGAAAGGAAGTGATATGAGCCTAACTTCCCCTTTTAACCAACAGCAGAGTCTTAAAGTAGATTCTTTGCTGGACTGAGAGGAAGAGATGGAAACATTGTTAAACAGGTTAGAAGATAGTTGTTATATTATGCTTTTATAGTGAAGGAGTTGCATTTATTAAAATTAATAAAAATTGATTTTAAATATCAATTTTCTTAATACAAAACATATT